CAGATAAAACCACAAGGTGCCACGTGGTGTGCGTCTCGGGTACTCTCTCCTTCGAGCAGGAAAACACCGATTCTGCATTGCTGAAATATTTCTCCCCCTGGCTGAGGAGGAAGATGTACATTCTTCAAGGCGGTGGACATTTTGGGACAGTTTCTCTACAGCTGCAGTTAAGGCCCGTACTGGGGCATAGAGATTATCTTCATATTGCTGAAGCTGTCTGGACACAGCATACACTGTTGATCCCATCCCACCTTTCCAACTCATTGCTGCCAGCGTGCTAGCATGTGATGATGGTGCACCCCACACAAACCTGCCCCACATGAACGGCGTGACCTGGACATCATCGGGATCTTCAGGTGTCTGGGCGTTGTCTAAATCACTACAAACCATCTCCAGCACAGCTAGTTCCCTCAGTTGCTGTAGACCTTTCTCCATGGTGGTCCACTTGCCTAGTTGATAGACAGTATCTTCCTTGTGGGGATACCTTTCTGTTCACAGCTGTCAGGAGCCGCCTCCAGAGGCTGAGAACCCGAGCCTCTCTCCCAATTATTCTGTCAATGAGCCTTTCTCCAGAGAGGGACCCCAGCTGTTTGGCTTCCTTGCCTTGTAGTTTCTGCATATTGGCCCCAGTGTCCCAGCATCGAAGCAGCCAGGTGAGGATGTGCTCACCAGGGTGACGACTGAAATCCTCTCGGATGTATCGCAACTCACTCAGGGATAGGGGTCGGGTGGTTTCTGATTCATATATGGTTTTTGTCCGAGCTGATTTCCCCTGCCATTGTTTTGTCTTGGCTGTGGGGGTGTCTGATACTGTAGACGGTTGGTCCTCTGGGTCAGACACGGTGTGTGCTGTCTCGTCATCAGATTCGGAGTCCTCCTCCTCCCCCTGAGGGTGCTGGGCAGTGTTAAGTACCGTTTGATAGGCGTAGGCCAGGCCCCAGCAGAGTGCTGCAAGCTGTCGTTCTCCAGCATTGCCAGGGTCAGGGCATACGGCTTTCAAACATTTTACCAGTTTCTTAGGATCTCGCACTTGTTCAGGGGTGAAGTTCAAAGCCATCGGGGGAGACAACCGTGACAGATACCTGCCCATATCCTCCCACACACCTTGCCACCCACCACCACACTGTCTTGGGACGCATTCCTGGGTGGTATCCTTAACTAATTGTTTAACCTGAGGGAGAAGAAAAAGCACATCGTACAGAGTTAGCAATAGGAGTATGCTGGTTACCCATGGGTACTCAAAGTACTCAAAAGCTGCTGTAATTAACCAACAGGGAAAGAAGGAGGAGGTACCGTTCCTGATATTATTCATAAACTGACATCCAGAGGAGGAAAGGAAGGCAGTATAATTCTGAATTTCCTCTAAAAGATAATTTCCAAGAGACCCAACTGATAACAGTGCAGGGACTAAACGCGAGATTAGACTCAAGGCCAGTGCTTGACGGCACAGCAAACTAAAAAATGCGAGCACAGATTTTAGCACATTCTCTAATCGAATATGGCGGAGAAGGGAGAGCATGGCACGGATTACATAAAACAGGACCACACAGGACAATATTAATAGCAAATCGAACATGGTGACTAGCAAGTAAGGGTGTTAGTTGTAAATGTTTTAATCAATTCTATTGTTATCTCAACCCTTCGTGCCCCACGTTGCGTGCCAAAAGGATCGTGGTGGTTTTACCTTGTTAGGCAGCTGAACTCCACCAGAACTGCTCTCTCACTTCCCCTCCTCAGAAGAGGAGAGGAAGAAGAAAGAAAAAAAAAGCAACTTATGGGTTGAGATAAGAACAATTTAATTACAGTGGAAATAATTATTAAGGGAAAACTAGTACTAAGGGAAAATTAAATAATTTAACTGAAGGGGAAAGGGAGAGGAGGAAAACAAACAAACAAACAAACAAAAAAAAACAAAGGCCGTGTGGAAGCACACAGAGAGAGGAAAGAAATTACTCTGTACTTCCCATCCACGAGTGATGCTTGACCACGTCCCTGCAGCAGGGCCTCAACGCACGTAGCAGTTGTTTGGGAAGACAGATGCTTTCACAATGAGAGCCCACCCCTTCCTTCTCCTTCCTTTTTCCACCTTTTATTGCTGAGTGTGACATCATGTTGAATGGAATATCCCTTTGGTTGGTTTAGGTCAGCTGCCCTGGTGATGTCCCCTCCCCACCTCTTGCCCACCCCCTGCTGGCTCTGGGGGGGGGGGCTGGAGGGAGTCCTGATGCTGTGCCAGCAGGGCTCAGCAGTAGACACAACACTGGTGTGATATCACTGCTGTTCTAGCTACAGGTGCAGAGCACAGCTCTGTACGGGCTGCTGCAGGGAAAGTTAACTCCATCCCAGCCAGACCCAGCACAGCAAGTTTATGGACTGGAGCTCAAGCTTCACAGGAATTGTGAAATAATTGCATAAACGGGAAAAATGTGCCCACATGCAATGCAGTTCCCTCAACAACAGCTAATCTGTTATTCATCTCTCACTAGCTTAATGCACAGTGCCCTGCTATAGCTGGAAATAGCGTAGAAAGTCAGAGGGTTTAATCATGCAGAACTTTATTTGTCATTTTTACAGTATTCGTCTTCCACGAGACTTGAAGTGCCTCGTAGAAGCCGTTTCACATGGGCCATGTATGGTTGGTCAGTGGTGATGTTTCCTGACCAGCTGACTGCAGTAATGTTGATATGTTTCTGAGGAAGAGTTAGGAGTTATCATCTGGAAAATGTGAATTTAGCGAGGGAAGCCAGGGAACAGATACATAGTAGGATAAAATGAAAAGGAAATGCATGAGGAGGTTAGTCAAAAATATTTCTCTCTTTTGTTTATAAGAATCATATCCTTTCCATGGAAATGCCATAGTAATTATGGAAAGCAACTCAAAAAAAAAAAAATAAATAAAATAATGAAATGCTATCAGTGAAAGCACAGGAATAAATAAATAAATAAATAAATAAATAAATAATTAAATAAATAAAATGTTTTTGAGGAGCAAATCTCCCACATCAGCTTCCTTATTCCCACATTCACCATGTATACCATGGCTAAATGAACAGTGTCAAAGAAAAGCCAGTGTTGTTCCTACCTGCTGCTAATGAGAGACTCCATTTCTTACTTTTTTAATCTATCACAAAATTGTTAAAATAACAGCCATGTACAGGACATGGGCACAGACTCCCATAGTCAGATTTTGGATAACCCTGCTGAGGAACCATTCCAGTAACCTCACAGTGAGACACTTGAAATGGTTTGGCCTAATGAGAGAAGGTTCACTCCAGGCTGCTTGTTTCTACCATGCTCTGACTCTACCCAGCAAAGCAAACCCAGCAGATCCTGAAGCGATGGGGCACGTATCTAATGCAGATGTCCTTGTTCAGGTGATAGAAGAGCAGAGGCAGCCTCAACGCCAGTGATCAAGATGCAGTTTGTTGTGCTTGAAACACAGCTGCTGGAGGAGATGGCATTTGTTTTCCTTGCATAAAGCAAAGCAGCTTTCGGCCAGCTGTGTGACAGCCATCCAGCTGCCCCAAGCATAGCCATGCTGTTGAGAAGATGGAAAAAAACCTGTTTGAAACCTAACCCCACTAGGAGATGAAAGCAATGCCACAGAGCCATGGCCAGCACGGGCAAGTCACCCCCTGGGGAGGGACACACAAAGGACACGGGAGGAGCAAGGGACAGGAGCGGGCATAAGGTGTGTTGTAGACATCCAGAGTATGCCACTATAGTCAGGGCCCTTCTTATAAATTTATGTTTGTGCTTAGATAATTTCATAATCAGCATGATCACCGTGTTCCTGACACCAGCTCTAGTTCACTCAACCCTCCAGGCACGTGATTAAGTCCATCTCCACGGGACAGGATACAATTTCCCACAGTAAAATATGATTATTTGCATGTGCTTAAATTCCGTTAAACATTTGTATAAGGCCGTTCCTGAAATAAGAGTTCCTTGAGCTGCAAAGTATCTGTGCTGCAGCTGTTAAACACCTGTGTGCTGTCTTTGGGAATTACTCTATTACAGGGTTTAACAGGGATTTGTATGATGCTAAATAAGGAGTGCAGCTCTGCGTGATCTGTCACAATATATGCATTATTGATCATAAAAAAAAATGGAGGAAAGGATTAGGCACAGCTATAATAATGATGCACGCTACGCTATGGAGTCAACAAATTAGTCTTCCATAGACTGAAGTCATGCAGCATATAATTTTGGTCAAAAGCTTAATTATTTCTAAGTTATTCATGGTGGTTAGATGAATTGTAGTGCACACAGAGACTGCTTGCAGCGCTCAGATACAGGTTTTGATTAGTTTTCAAGTGCAAGTCAGCAATGCCTGAATGCAAGGCTTTGATCCAAGGCTCGTCACCTGAAAACGCACCCACAAAGCACCTGAATAGCTTAAAGAAAGTTTTATCTCGCCAAAGCTTTTAAAATGCTCCTGATGATATCTCTGATTTGGCTTGGCAGGTACATGAGGCAGTGAGTGCAGAAACATTTGTTACATTTGGTTCGATGATTTCAGGCCCCCAAAAGAAACAACCCTTGAGCTGACTCAGATTACCCTTCAGTCAGTTAGTCAGGATGTTGTTGTGTTTTCTTTTCATCATATCACCATTAGGAAATTCTGAATTATACCGTGGTTATGAGACAATCGTGCATACCTTAAAGCTTGCAAGTTATGTGTGAAAGGTCTTATCCTGCAGTCTTTCATCCTTTGCTTCACGAGTGGGGCTGGATGAGGGGCAGGGCGGACTGCTTGGCATTTCTGCCCCTGGTCAAACTACTCGTTCAAAGGAGGGCCGCTCATTCATTTATTGGAGATGAGCAGGATTTATCCCCAAGCACGCTTCAGTAAACAGATAGCTTGCAATTTCCCTGTGAAACTGGGTGTGAATAATGTGGTGTTGTTACAGTAGCGCGGGAGATAAATTGCTGCCTCCAGTGTGCTCCGTTTGTCTTTGCCTTTTACTTATTGTTGTCTTCGTGCTTATATTTTAAAGGGAGTTTACCCAGGAAAAGAAATAGATGCAAAACTTCACGAGGGACTGCCTGCCCCCCTTCCATTTTGTGCTGTGCAAAATGCAGAGGAAGAAGAAAACGTACCAGCAAGTGAGGGTGGGTATTCAGCCGCTACGTACCCACGGGCTTCTGCACAGTGGTCAGGGCAAATGGTGGCTTAGTGTATGATGTGTTGCCTTATGACATGAGGCACTGTGGCTGGGAAGGCGTCACCTGCTCGTTAGGAAGATGAGCACTCGTCACGCATCGCACAGGCAGCGCAGGCAGCAGGGAGAGTCTCAAGGCTTGGCCGTTTCCGAGCCTCTGGGAAGAAACCCAAGTTTTTGTCAGGGAGGAGCCGTATTCCAGCATCTTTATCTTTCTCCAAGTGAAATCACAGCAAACCAGCTAAACAGAAGGAACTTCCCTCGCTGCTTCAGGATGGGCTATTTATTGCACACATCGGCATCTGTCAGTTTGCGCAGACAGCTCTGGTACAGATGCTCAAGCACTGATAACAAAAGATATAAATAGCGTGCGTGGTGCACAGCTTGTGGCATAGGGCAGTACTGCCAAATGGCATGTGTGCCTCTAAGTGTACTCAGCTTCTGCAGAGACAGCCTGAGTCACGTAATGGACTCCACGGAGAGACCTCTTCTAGCACCTCTTCTAGCTCTCAGCATGACAAGTGTTTAAGAGGTCCTTTACACACGGGGGCTATTAGTGATGTGCCTGTACTATCAGCTATTCTGATTAAAACAGTAAATTTTGAAAGAGATGGAGGCATTCAAGTTTCCTCCTTGAGTTGCACATGTTGTCCGGCGTACCCTTGCCTTCATGAGGTTCGGTGGCTTTGTTTGGGGAAGTGAATCAGGTGCCTGCTGCATTGTGCTCTGCCTTTGAAAACAGGCTGTGGTAGCTACTGAAATGACCCAATTCGCAGACACCGAGTGTGCCTGACACTGACTTCATAAAGCTCCCAAGAAGAGGGGCTGCACACCAGGATTTGCTACTGCCACTCATATCCCATCCTGTTCTGGCAAAATATTTGCTCTCGCACGTGGGCACGGAAGGAAAGGACAGGGTCAGTGATTACAGCTGCTTGTGGGCTTTGATGGGATTTTGTGGCACTGTATAATCTAGGAGCAATTACAGCAGGTTGTCCGGGAAACTGCAGCTAAAGTTCTTATTCCCCAGGTAAAACTGCTAAGACCGCCTGGAAATGCTTAACGAGTCAGAAGTGAGCATATGCTGAAGCTATTTTAGGTTATACAGAATGCATCAAAAAAGTGAGATTTTCCCCAACAGGATAACGTGAAGTGTTGCTGGTTTTTGTTTTAACAGAAAAGTTTGCGGTTGGATCCCGTTCTCACCAAAGCCCCGGCGAGCTGGACGTGATGCTCTGACTGCATTTCTCTTACATCTCGGTTGTCCAAGTAGCTCTGTGGAGGGGGCTCCTGTCCAAACAGCTCCCCAGAAGTGGCTTCTGTCCAAGCAGCTCCATGGCAAACTACGGGACTAAAGTGAGCAGCTTTCCTCTGGATTTGACTTCAGCTTTCCAGAAATCCGTGGCACGTAGGTGCAGCATCCTAATTCAGATTTGTAGGAACACAGCATGGTGTGTAAAAGCAGGCGGCTCTGTAGGAAATCAGACATCCACCCTTCACTCCCCTTGCACTTCACTGGGCAGAGAGCTCTGCTTACTGGTCTGTGCTGGGTTTTGTGCTGGGTTTGTTTTTGGTGCTCTCCATCCTGCTGGTCCACAGCTGCACCCTGTCGTACCTGGTGTGGTTTCAGCCACTCTGCACCTCAGGCTCCTGACGCTTAACAAGGGAAAACATTGATACCTGTTTCATCAGTGCTGGGAAGATTAAATGCATTCAGAACTAGGGGAGTGCTCAGATTTTGCTGTCGGCTGAAATCACAGGCTTCTTGTTTTCCAAACCAGCTGGAGAAGAGGCTGCTCTGTCCTCTGGGGAGAGGAGCCAGGTTTTGGGAGTGCCTCCGAAGACAGACACCCTGGCTGCTGAAATGGCATGTGTCAGCAGAAAACAGGAGGGGAAACTTTCTGTAGAACCTGTTAGTACCGAGAACGTAAGCCCCTGGGGCAAGGTCTAGCTCTATTTTTGTGTCCGCAGATCATCTGCTGCTATTTCAGGTACTAACTTAGCAATGCCTCCTACTGCACTCCTGCCACAGAGGCAAATACATTAGCAAATCCCCAGGCTTGTGCACTAAAGAGCAAAATTCAGGTGAACAGCACAAAAATCAGCACTTCTCAGAAGACATTTGCCACACATTTCCTATGGCGATTATAAAAATGCCGTGGGATCTGCAAATCCATACTTAATTGGCTTTTCCAGGAGCAAGTTATGTTTCCAGTAAAGACAACTGCTCTCCTAGGAGCCCTGGGATTTTAGAGCTGGACTTCAGAAAACACTTCTTTTATACCAGAAAAAGGTCTCGAATCCCAAATGTAGGAAGGATACAGGCTAGGGAAAAAAATAACTTTACAAATATGCAATTCAGTGGACAAGGAAAAGGTGCTGGTGCAGGCAGGAAATGTAAGATCCTGAGGAGGCTCAACATCTTTTTCTTTCCTGATCCCTGTTTGTGCAGTCAAGCTCAGCAGAGGGCATCGAGCCCTCTCAAATGAGCCTTTGCAGGCTGAGCCTGCCGCCTTCCTCCTGACAGAGCTGCATGTAAGGCAGGAGGAGAGAGACTGTGTTTTCTAGGACACAGCATCTATACCAACAAATAATTATAAAAATCAGCTGGCTGTCGTTCCGTATTTACCAAAACACAAATTCACATCATCCATCTGAGAGAAATATTTTGAGACAAGTGGGTGCAGAATATCTCCATTTAATTCTGTAGTAGGACATAGCATAATCGCTTGGTGTATGCTTGAAGTTGTGCTCTTTTATCTGCTTGGTTTCATTTGACTTTTTCCTTTGTGCTGTCAGATATCCCTGCCGCTGTGCACAGGTAGAGCCAGCTGAACGTAAATGTCACCGCTGCAGAGGGATCAGGCACAGATCCCTTCCCCGCCGGAGCCACAAGCCCTCTGCGAGCTTTTACATCAGCGAATTTCACATTCAGCCAAGTGAGTAGGGGCAGCTCCTGGCATGTCGTTCACATGTATCCCCCACATAGCTGCCTAAACCTTATTGACTTCAACGCCTGCATTTGATTCAGCAACACACTGAAAACTGAGGTTGCACCGACGTCCTGCCAAGCCACTGTGGCTAAGCCACAACACACTCTGTAATGAACACTATGCACCCAGGACAGCCAGGTACGGACAGATAAATTCAGGAGAGGCTTTGGTGCAGGTTTGTGGGGACAAATAAGGATGTGGGACACCTTTGCTGTCTTATTTTTCTGTCCTCTCCCTCCTGGCAGTATGCAGAAAATGTAAAAAAACATCCCTAGGTCTAGCACTGGGATGCAAAATCAGCTGAAAACCCCGGCGAATGTTCCTAAGGATTCTCCATGCGCATGCCACAGATGCTAATTGCCTCCTGAAATATTCTTGAATTTCTTCCGTGCTGTCAGATGGCTTTTTTTTGTGTGTGTGTGTGAGCTACATGAGATGTCGCAGCTTCCAGCATCCTTCTGTGTCAGCGGCACCATGCAGCCATTCCTGATATGTTCCTCTGCAGAAGGCACCAGTCTTGCACAGGCAGTGTAACTAATGTTGGGTCTGGCTTCTTGCAGGCAGGAGCAGTGCTTCTTGAACAACAGCCCTTGCTGAACACCTGAAGATGTACACAGATGGTCCTGAGAACTGGGCATGAAGGAGATAAAGCAAGGAAAGAGCTCCACACCACAGGAGGTTCCCGTAACACGTATCATAAATGGCTTTTAATGGGATATATGGTGTTCACCCATTATAGGCCGGCAATGGCATCTCTGCTTTATACTGTCTGATGCTTCCCTCTAAAATTGTTCTTGATTGTCAGCAAGCCTATTGTGCTCTTTGTGCTGAAATTTGACATGCCAGCTATCTACCAGGATCTGAATTATTTGAGGAAAATTCTAGCCAAATGGATTCAGTGGATTCAATAAGCTCGTAGCTTTATAACATGCTACACCTGTAAAAAAATCCAGTGAGCATTTTTCTCCAAAGAGCCCTGCTGTTCACAGGCTTTGGAGCAGGGACTAGAAATTGTGGGTGGGCAGTGTGTCAGTGTGGGGCCTGCCAAGATTCCCAGCAGTCTGAAAGCTCCTGGGCTTCTCTTGCTGGTGCTGCGCGGTGCAATCATGTCCTCGGCATCAGGACGTCAAGTCTCAGGATCTAGATTTCAGAGTCAGCTCAGTAATACAAGTGAAAGTTCACCTTTCAGAGACAAAATAAATAAATAAATAAATCTGTTTTCAGGGGTGTCAGTGAGCTGGGTGAACAAGCTGATGGCTGGCAAGCTCTGGAGGTGACCCGAAAAAGGCAACAAGCAAAGAGACGGAGCAGTGTGGTTTTAAGTCCAGACAAGATGTTTCCAGCTCTCTCAGGCTAAAGCAGCAGAACCAACACTTTTGACAGAAGTTTCTTTTGTCTGAAAATTTCATCCAAGCAGATCCCAAAGCCACTGCTGAGAGAAACATCTCAGGAGAGCTGCAGGAGGGCACAGAACAGTGCACGGCGAGGACGGCTCGCAGCTCTGCTCCACGTGGTGCAGAGAGAGCAGGAGGACAGTCTGCCAGCCCTGCTGCCCAGGAGTTCAACACCTCCTCCAGAAACGAGGTCACAGAGCTCAGAATCTGCGTCTCAGCAGGCGTGGAAAGCTGCAGGTTGCACAGTGAGGGGCAGAAGGATCCTCATTTCTTTTTTTCTGCACGCTCCTGGATTCCCTGGGCACACGGTGTTTCTGCTTGCCTTTTGCAGAGGATCAGAATGACTAACGAGGCTACTACGAGTTTCACTTGGAGCCATGCATGCATGCACTTTCTGTAGAAACTGTATTTGCCATTTATCATCTGACCTTTCCGTGGCTCAAAGCTGGCTCTATTATGTGCGGTTCTTCTTCCAACCAACATTTTCATCAGTCAAGTTTTCAGAAAAACATGTCTATTAGAAAGGCTCGCTGGTGCCGTGCAGAAGGGGAAAAAGAAGACAGAGAGGAGAACCAGCAGCCTCCCCAGTGCACTTGGGAACGCTCCCAGAGTTGCCGGTTTGTTCCCCAGGTTTGTTTACTTTGCCACTGTAAAACAATAAGCAAAAGTCACTTGTTTGTCATCATTCTTCCCTCCATGAGACACGATATTCTCCATACTTGCTGCAGCTGAGCAAATAATTAAAAATGAATAATTTATACAATTAGTGCAGTTTTTTTCTCCCGTTTACGTAACTGCCAGAGGATCACAAATTTCTTTGGAATTTATTCCTTAGTTAAGTTTATTTGATACATCTTAATGATCCTACCACTCCGTAGATGGAATGTTAATTGTAAGTAATTATTCATATTCATTAATATGCACATTGTTTTCTAATGGCTGGTCAGATAAATCAAGTGATGTCATTTCTGTTCTCTGGCTGAATTAATCCAGAAGAAACGTTCATAACTGCGAACCCGGTGCATATTTTCCTGAACAGGCAGGCAGGCAGACTTTGAAAATTCTCTCCCAAGTTTACTTGAGCTCGGAAACCATGATTTCCCACATATTTGCAAGCAAATGAACACAGAGGATGTGAGAGCACATCTAGAGCGAATGTTTTTATAATTCAAAGGGCTAGCAGGCTGTGGTTTGTTTATCTGTACATATTTTTCCAGTTCTTCAAGGGCAGATAATGCATGCAGGTCTCTGCTATATAAAAGTCATTATTCCCTCCAAATTCTCACATCTTCCTTTCTCTAATGCATCCCCGGCAGATAAACAACATCTTTTTGTGCTGCTGATAGGTATTTAAGAGCTTGTACAGCCAGTTCACAGTACCAAGAAGTATGTAATGAGAAATAAAAATTGCTTTCCTTGTACTCTGCAGCCAGACTTCCTAAAAGCTGAAGCATAATTATTACCACTTACATATTACCACCACATAATTATTACCACTTACCCTGTTCGTTGTGAGAATTTCAAGTGTGATTTTAAATCATTTAGGTGCTTAATGTTACTAAAAAAAATATGTAAAAACCATTATTATACAATAATAGAGCAACAATGCAACTGATCTAATAAAACCCCAAACTATACCACCAAAAGCTATTTGGGTGTGAAATTGTTCCCTCCCTGAAAATAAATAAATAGATAAATAAATAAATAAATAAATAAAAAGCCCTCAGCTCATAGCTTAGGGGCATGGCGTCCTTTGAGAAGAAAATGCAGGAATGTCTTGAACACATGACATTTTTTCCAAAGTAAACATTTTATTATGAGCCGGTAGACTTTTTAATGGCAGATAGAAAGCATTACCCTTCTAATTCTTACAAAGCCAGAGAGAGGGGCTGCCCATCACTTATCCGTCATTGACTGCCCTGCATCGCCCTGTTGGGTAGGGCTTCTCACAGGCTTTGGGAAGGCGATTTCTGAGAAAGTCTGTGTTCCTCGTGACCCCAGTGGTGCAGCTTTCACTTGTTTTATTAGAGACCTTCTCAAGCATCCCAGGGCACAGGAACAGCTTGCATTGCATATCCACACGTGGGGAGATGCTGTCCTGGCATGCAGGTGTGCAAAATGTGATGATTTGAGCCTGCTGAGCTGATGTGGTTAGTGCCAGCCACTGCCCAAGGTGACAGGCTCCGTGCCAGGGCTTTAAGTGAGGGCAGCGTGGAGCTGAGCTCGCCTCGGCTCCAGGTTCCCCATCCCCATCACCGCACAGCTCTCTGCTGGCTTCGTCCCCATCTGTCCCCCCGGGGAGTCATTCTCTGCAGATTTTCGCTTCGCCACAGACATTACTCACCTGCCCAGCCTTTGTTTTCCCTCCCCACTAAATATCCGCCCGATAAAGCACTTCCCCTCTGATTCCACCTCCTCCGGCGGCCGTTCACAGAGCACTGCCATACCAAGGGGGGGCAATTTGGCTGGCACGTCTCCCGGGATTAATCACGGCCGATCAGCAGCACGGCCCTGCAGGGCTCTTCATTATCTGCTCTGCAAGCCCCACTGCCTGGCTGCTGTTTGCCCATTCCCACATTTTGGCTCATTGTTATTTTCACATTGGCTGTTGTCAGTGCCAAAGCTCTGGCAAGGAAGGCTCGGTGCTTGCTTAAGCAGCTGAACCAAGCGAGGTTTCTGTGATAATATTC